GTCTCCTGCCCCGCGGTGGGCAGTGTCTCCTGGGTGTACTACCTTCGCGGCCTTCCCGCTGCCAAGAGACCGGTGTCCCCCTTGAGCCCTAGCTAGGCTGCTTCTGATAGCGGGCGCTCCGTAATTAACTGAGGGTCCATTAACTCTGCGGCGCTCGGTGTACAATAAACCAACCGCGCTCCTCCGGAGCTGCGGGTACTTTGGAGGCAGTCTCTGCGTCGCCTGGGGGCGCCCTGGATCACGGCGGTGCCTGGGGGCTGCAGGGGCCGTGGCCGCCAGCGCGGTGCGGGAAGAGAGCGGCCCTCGGTATCGGCAAGTGAGGGACGGCGGGGAGCGGGAACCGGCGATGGGGCGGTGCCGCTCCGGGAGACCCCAGCGCACCGGTGCCGAGGGGATGGAGGACGGAGCGGCACCGCGGGGAGGGACTGGGAGCAGAGCGGGGCCTCCTGCGGGTCGCGGGAAGGCAGGAACCGGCCTGTGGTGCTTGGGGGGATCCCGCCATGCACCGTGGAGCTGCCCGCCGTACGGAACCAGATCGGACAGGCTCCCCGGGTGATGGGGTCGCCCAGGGGCAGCGCGGCTGCAGGCCTGGGGGTGTGCGGGCCCGGAGCCCCAATAAGGGCTCGGGTTACGGTGGCTGTGTCAGGGTCAGTGCCCGGGCAGGAGGGGCGCAGCCCCCCCGAGCTGCTCCGTGTCTCCCATCCCCATACATCTGTCACTGAAGTTTATCTTCGAGCCTGTCAGCTTCGGGGCGCCAGCGGGTCAGGGTGCGTGTTCGGCACCGGAGTTGTGCCTGCGAGCCCCGCGCTGATGGCCTGAGCAGCGCGGCTTCGGCTCCCGCGACGCTCCTGGGGATGGCTGGCTCCGGGCTAGACTTGACCGCGGCTGGGTGACACGGGGGTCTCGCCGGCCAGCAGGCAGGAGCTGGCTCTGGGGTGGCCATGCCCGTCTCCCATCAGCCTGCTTTGCTTAGAGCAGGTTGATAACAGATGGTGTCAGCCGTTTTGGGAAGAAAAGTTCATAAGCATCTTCTGTAACGACTTTCCTGGATTTTAAAGTGGGTGACAGGCCGGTGGCAAACCCCTCTACCGAGTTAGACACTGGAAACTTTTGCATCTTCATTGAAGGCTAAAGTAAAGATGCTATTTAGGCTGAGATTTTGGGAAGAGTGGGTCTATGGAATGGGTAGAAGTCAAAGCAAAAAGGGAAAAGACAACATTGCATTGGCCGGGAATCGAACCCGGGCCTCCCGCGTGGCAGGCGAGAATTCTACCACTGAACCACCAATGCTCCAGCTGTTTGGGAAGTTGCTTGCACCGCTGCCTACAGCACTACCTGCACCTCTGCCTGCACAGCTGCCCGTGCCTCCAGCAGCTCTGCTGCAGGGGGCCTGGAACTGAAGGGCCATTGGGTGACCCGGGACCTTGAAGCGGTTGCACGGCTGAAGCAGGGTTACAGATGTCTTCATTTAAGGGCAGATGATAAGTTAAATATCCCTGGGTTCCAAGCTGGGAGTTCCTGGGGAGGAATAGGTATGGCTTATGGAAACCTTGTTTGCTTGGAATATCAGCTGAAGCGGTGTATGGGTGGCTGCGAGGATCCAAAATCATGGTGCTGGGCATTGGTCTGGTAGGCCGTAATTCCATACCAGCCAGTTCTCTGCTGCTGTCTTATGCTGTATTGTGGGTACATGACCCTCATAACCCACCATGTTGGAGAGGGTGTTTAAAGACCTGGTGACTTCTCTGCAAGCACGTAGCCATGGTGAGTGGCCCTTGAGTCTATCCTGGGCTGAGAGTTCATGAATGGTGTAAGAGGCTGCAGGCTGGAGCTGAGCAGGGAGGAGGAGAGAGCTCTGGTTACACTACTGGGTTCCTTCATCGTTCCCCATTTCAATACCACTTTCTTTGGCATTTGCTGTGGCCAAAAAATCATTTCTGACAGCTTACTGAAGATGAGTTGAGGGAAAGAAGAGGAAAGGTGTTTCCCTAAATGCTTGTTTAATTGTATACTTTTATTTTTTCTCTCCCCTTCTCAATATCTGAGTCAGTAATCCAAAGTTTTCACAATTTGGCAATAAGATGCCCCAAATGATGACTGCTTTGACCATGATAAGTATGCTTACTCCAGGTGGTAAAAGCGTCCAAAACCTGTCTGGTGGCCCAGCTTGTACATATAGCAGTTCCAACTTGAGCATAGCCTTCTTTATGATCTGGGAAAGCAGTTCCTTCCCTCAGTGACATTTGTCTTCACTCTTTATTGCTGCCTGACATGGCCAGTAAGTCACAGGTTGTCTCATTTTCAGGTCAGCCCAGGCTGCTTTAGCTTTCTCTGTATGTTAAGCCAATTAATGGTCTTCTCTGGGGTCACTAGTACATTACAAGGATATAAGGTTGTTAAGATTTCCTCTGTGCTGCTTCTTTCTTTCTGTTGCATACCCAAATCCTTTAGAATAGGGCAGATGTAGTTCAGAGCTTTAGGCACGCTTTCCTTGCAACAGCTATTTGTGCTTTTCCTGGTTTTGCCCAGTACATACTGAGGTCATAAAAAGTGTAAAAGCTGGCAAAGCAGTTCAGGTTTTGTTTTGTCTGAGTGATAGTTTTGGGCAGGTTTCACCACATGGCAAGCCTGGCCTCCATTTCCAGAGGATCTCAAAGCAATCTACAGAGACTGGTATTAAAATTGATACGATCATCCTACTTAAGGCAGCTGTTCTTTGAGATGCAGAAAACAACCCTAGATGAGCTGGATACAGAGTAGAAAAAGCAAAGTAACATCAGGTCTCTGGAGGGGAAGGTGGGGAGAATCTTCTGCTAGAGCTAGCTCAACACCTTCATAGACTCATCCACTTCCCGAAATACTGAAGGTGATTAACTATGATTTATAAGCTTAGTTTGAAAATTATTTTCTGTCTCCAAAAAGCATGACTTTTGTTTGGAGATCTGGAAGATACAAGCCCTACACAGTGTGGGAGTTTCAAAAGCAGAAATGTGGAAAGCTGAGTTACATAATAAGAGGGGAAAAGGTATACACGCTGGCTGTGAATTGGGAGTAGTGTGTTTTCTGGCAAGTTTTGTGCTGCCTCTTAAAAAGTACAGGAGAAGAAACAGGATGGGATGTCCCTGCCTGAGGCAGGGGGGTTGGAAGTAGATGATCTCGAAGTCCTTTCCAACCCAAACCATTCTAGGACTCTACGATTCTATGAACTAATCTAACTCAGTGTGGGACAGAAACCTGCCAGCTATTCCAATTTCCCACTTTGAGACAGGGGTTATCATAGGTATTTTCTATTAAAAACTCTTGTTTCAACAAGTCAAACAAACTCAAATACCCACTGTTTACGTAAGAAGGGTGTAGGCATTGTGAACCTCCAAGGGGTGGAACAGAGATTATAAAGTCACCCAGTGGGACAGATTTAGTAATGTCAGTGCAGGACCTAAAATCACAAGATTAAGTAGGATTCACCGTTAGGAATTTTGTAACCAATACTTGACTCTCCTGGGATTACAGTGTAAAGGAGAATAGCTTTATCCTTCTCCACAGTACATGGTTTTGTGAAGTGTATCAATCTTCAGGAAAAATGCCTTGATGAAAGGTGATCTATGCAAGCAAACAGGGTGATTTATTTGCTTGATGATGCTTTCAGTGGAAATCATCACTATTAACATTAGAAGATCTACTGAGATCCAGGCTGCTCGCTATGTCAAAGGTATCATCTCAGAATAAATTGGATTAGGCTGGAGTCCCAGGTTAAACCTGTGCACATTAACTTTGCATGTTGACTACAAACGTTCAACTGCTGGAGGGAGCTGACGGCCCTGTCTGTGAAACACAGAGCACAGTCCAAACAGATGCTAATCCTGTGTGAAAAATGAGGCAAGATTTCTTAGGCTACATCTGTGTTAGTCAATCAAACAGTTCTGGAACAAGCTGTCTTTATATTCTTACCTTAGAACTGTATTGTGTGCCATAGTGCTGGTGTCTCTATTCCCCACATTTTCTGCATAGGAAGAAAAAGAAAGCCTGTTTCTGCAGCTGACAAGGCATCACCTAAGCCACAGCGTCCACCATGCTTGGTGAGAAAAACTGGAGCTTCCCTCCAATGAATCAGAAACTTGCCCCACAGTTACCAAAAGAGAGAAGAGGTGGCAAGGGACATGGGCCATCACCTCTGCCAGCCATGTTACTGCTCTCAGCTCCCAGCAAGCCATCCGCTCACTACAGAGGACTGGCCCTTGCTGCTTCCCCAGATCTGGTCTCAAACCATCCTGCTTGCAGTATGGGCAAAGCTCTGTTTTGAGGAACTTCATGAGGTTGGCACTGGCCACCTCTCAAGCACGTTAAGGTCCCTCTGGATGGCATCCCTTCCCTCCAGCGTATCAACCGAACCACACAGCTTGGTGTCATCGGCAAACTTGCTGAGGGTGCCTCAATCCCACTGTCCATGTCAGCGACAAAGATGTTGACTGTGGCTGAGGGCACCTTTACCGGTGGGCCTCAGGACAAAGGAGCTGTGTTTATTTGGCTGCTGACAAAAGTAATTGTGTCAGCCAGCAATCCCTCAGGCAGATCTGGGGCAGGAACCTGTTTAAGAGCTGTAGTGGTATCTTGTTCTCTGCAACAGGAGACACTGCTATTCTGCAGTGCTAGTGCAAAGAATGTATTTCACTCCCTGCCCTCCTGACTCTGTTCCTGCCACCAGCTTCCTTTCTGCCCATTTATCAATCACCTAATGCACTGAATAATGATATCAGGCAGGAAAACAGAAAGTAACCACTGAAGAAATTGTTAGAAGCAACCTATGTTTATTTTCATCTCAGCAGGGTAGCAGTACCCCATCACAGTGAGTTATGCAGCTCTGTAACACTGGCAGCCATGCTGCAGTTTTCTCCAGGTACAAACAGCAGCAAGGAGCACAGCTTCTCTCTCTGAGAAGCTTCCTGAGGCACTTTCATAGGGAGAAAGCCTTAGCACAGCTCTCCAAAGGACACTTCCTCACACAAGGTCCACTGAGGTCACTGAAGAGATTTCTCGCAGATCCATGGGGCAAGGATTTCACAGCTGGAAGCACGAATGGCACCATCCAGCAGAACGGCACAGTTCTGCACGGGGCTGTTGAACAGGACACTGTGGGAGACACGGGCAGAGCACACAAGCGGGAGGACATTAGAGAGGGATCATCACTTTGGCAGGGGGAAGAACCTCGCACGTCTTTGGAAGTAGGAGACTCACTGAAGTTGGACTTCATGACCTTGTGTCAGGAAAGACCCATCCTGGAACATGGGAGGTCTGGCAGTGGGGCTTGCTATGCCCACAGCTCACCCTGAGACTTGAGAGGTAGTCTGTGTCATTTTGGCTCTCCATTTCCCATCACTAATGAGAGAAAAGTCCTGCTCCACTTAAAGCATTTAGAGACCTTGGGACAGAAAGTAGCAAGTATTCCAGTCTGAATGTGTTGTATGGGCACGTGGAAGATGAAAGCCTCTGTTTCATTAAGGTTTTCCAATAGAAAACCTTTTCAATGCAAAGGGAAATTAATGATCAAGCAGAAATCCACAGAGACACAAATCTGGTGCAAAAGAGGTAACAGAGGCAACGGCAAAGACTGGAAGTGTTTGGCTACTACTTAATGGGCCAACAAGAAACTCCAGGCACAGCTTTGGAGAGGGACACCCCAAGCTTTATAACTGATAAAAGAGGGGGGGAGGAGGAGGATGATTTGGGATGTTCCAGGTGGGCCTGTGCAAAACCTGTCGAGGAACGTTTAGGGGAAGGGAAGTGACAGAGGAGGGGACAGGCCGTGTGTGAGCAGGGGGACTGTCCGTGTGCAGTTCCAATTCCATGGCAGCTCCAAGCTGCACTAGCCAGGGGATAGGATGCCCTGGGAGCCTAGAGAGTGTTTTGTGTGTGTGTTCACTAATGGATTTCAATCCTGAGCAGCCAAAGAGGAGGAAGGGGACTTATCTGCCTATTCTTGTGCTTTATGTGAGTCCTATTAGCACTACATGTGGCTGCTGCTGAAGGCAGTGCCTTGTTTGTTGGCAGCGTGTGCAGCCAGCTGTGTGAGAGTCCTTTGCCTGCACATGTGTCTGTATTTGTGTCTCTGGGACACATGCTCAGATTTCCTAGTGAGTGATCCTACAAATGGGAATGTAGCAGCTGTGCACATCATCCTGGGATAGAGACTCCCACATCTCTGGTGCACCAGACTGGGCTCCAGCAGCCGGACAGGAAGAACCCATTAGTTCTGGAGCTGCTGGAGCCAGCAGCCACTCTGAACATAGCAGCTGTATTCATTGCTGATAAGACTTCCACAGACTACAGATGGAACATCTCATGTAGAAGTTTAAGGGCATGGGAAGGATCTCAAGCCCTTTGCTTTACAGAAAAATACAGAGGAAATACCATACTCACTTTTTTCCATTTAGTTTTGAGCCATCTTCCCAGACCCAGTCATAACCAGTGCTGTTCTGCAAACCAATCCAGTAGGATTCGGTGTGCATCATCTGGAAGAAGTCCTAGGAGGGACAGAGAGGCAGGGAGATCAGTAGTTTCAGAGAAACAGAGTCAAGTTCTGGACTCTGGGAGGAAACAATGGGGCGCTGTGTGAAAGAGGGAGGTTTGCAGCTATTTCTCAACGTCCTTTGGGCACCCACACCATTCCAATTCCTTACTGTAGGAACCTACTTTGTGAGAGGCAGCATTTCAGAGTGCCAGCAGCTCCCCCAGCCGTGGGTCTGAGGACTGAGCCCATGACAAGCTCAGCAAGGGCAGGCAGAGAGAAGCACGTTCCTCTTGCAAAGGCCTTTTACTCTTTCCCTTGCTCACAGAGGGGAAGAGCTGGACAGTACAGTGCCTTCGACCCGCTCCCCTGTAATCCTGTTATCCTGTATGGCAAAGGCCCTCGGTCCTGGCCACCGCAAAGGCACCCACCATTTCGCTGGTATCACTGATGACGAGGAGATGAGCTCCCTGTGCCCCGCAGGACTGCCGGCTGGAATGCCAGTCCTTCTTCTGCTTGGAGAAGCAGTAGCAGCTCCCTCTGTAGGTGACCCACTGCTCAGGGCAGCGTGGGCATGGATAGCCTGCAAAACAGGCATACGGCTCTCTTCTCGTTCGTAGAGCCTGCTCCGCTGCGGGCACATTTCGCACACGCACCCCTCTAGAAACTGATTCTCCAGCATTATAGTAATGCCATCGCTGGAGCTGTTCTGAGACTGGCAAAGACAATGTCATTAACAGCACAGAGGCTCTCTGAAAATCATCCATTTACCAGATGGGAATAGGTGTGAGATTATGGAGGGGTCTTTTGGGGCCTTCCTTTTCCTTTTCCTTTTCCTTTTCCTTTTCCTTTTCCTTTTCCTTTTCCTTTTCCTTTTCCTTTTCCTTTTCCTTTTCCTTTTCCTTTTCCTTTTCCTTTTCCTTTTCCTTTCCCTTTCCCTTTTCCTTTTCCTTTTCCTTTTCCTTTTCCTTTCTAGTGTTTTTACTCTTTTGTTTTCCCTTCTCCTTTTCATTCTGTCTTCCTCATATAAACTTCATCTTTGGCCCACGTTTCCTTCTGTCCAATGGGATAGGCAAAGCCCTGGCATCTGACAGGACTGTGGCAGGTCCCCCACTTCCATACAGCCCCCATCACTAAGCTCTGGCTGCTGCTAGGACCAGGAATCATTTTGTAACAGTTGCTAGTCATGGAGGTCTTGCAGTTTGAAGCACCCTCCTTTTCCTTCCTGACAGGAGAGCAGGTAGTGCCACTGGCCCATGGATGGCCACTGAACACCTCAGGGCTCATTCTCTCACTGTACAGCACTGATCTGCAGATGCACATGAAAAAATGGGCTTTCTGGTTCTGTCCTCTGGTCTAGAGCTGCATTTATCAGGATGTAGACATGAGTGGTTGAGCACCCAACAAAGTCTGCTTGCTACACATTGAAGTCTACCCAGTTGCCCCTCTCAAAGGCATCTTTGATATTCTCTATGCCTTACTTTCTTGATCCTGCTGAGGACTGGTGTAACTAGGCCAAACTTTAAAAACCTCAGAAAACAGAATCAAGTCTTTTTTAACAGAGAAATGATACTTCCATGCTCTTCTTGGAGCCCTGAGCAGATATCAAAAGCTCTGTTTTGCTTCCTGGCAAAGCTCTAACTTCAAATAAAATATTTTCAATGGCAGGTTTTTATTTACCCTTGATAATAAAACCCAGTGCTGTTCCCAGCGATGCCAAGATGAGGATCCCTAGAATCACTGCAGTAATACAGCGGCTGGTGCATAAACCAGGAAAATCTAACAGGAAGAAAAAGAGCATAAATGTGATAAAGGTGAGGTTTTCTCAATGGGATCAGCTCTAGAAATACAATATATGTGAAACTGCAGTGTCTGTTTACTTCACCCTGCACTCATGTCAGAGTGCAATACTATCTGACTAGTTCTTTTTGATATTCCACACATGGATAATTCAATGTTTAATATCAGTTTATTTTTACTAAAGAAATGTGATGTTGCATGAGATTCTGATTTAGCAGGGTGATACAGCTATGTGTTGAAAGCAACACATAAGTGCAAGTTACATTTAGCAAGTATAGCGTTTCAATACACAGCTGAATCACAAGACAAATGTGGTTCTCTTTGCCAGGCTCTACAATTTGCTCACCGTCGCAGCGCTGGGTTGCACCAACAAGGAATATGTGGGTTTAAGCAGCTCAAGCCTGTTGCTGTCTTCAAAGCTCTTTTTGTCAGTTGTACCGTGGTTGTATTCTCTGTTAGGCTGTCACATACACAGACACCTCCCCCCCCCCCCCGCTGGTCTGGCTAGGAAGACATTCACGCTCTTTTAATCAGCTCAAATTTACACCAGCTGATCACTCAAATGGTACAACTGTCGATCTAAAACCAAGGTACCTCTGTGGTACCCTTAAAGTTAAGTTCATCTTGCTTTCTGGCAGCCACATTCAATACTGCATACTTCATGCTTACATGGCACTTGTATACTTCCCTTCTCCCACTGTAGGGGCTTCTTGATCAGTCACAGCTCAGGATTATGTCTGAAGAGAAGTCCAACTACAGTGACTTTTTTGATACAGCATCAACAGAATTATTAGATCACACATCACTTAACTCTGTTGGAGCTGCAAGTCTCCAGCTTTAACCTGCCTCGAACTCTCTATCCTTCTCAACTACAAATAGCAGCCTAGAAAACTTATTAGCATAAAATTGCAAATAATTAATTCATAGAATCCTATAATGATTAGGGTTGGAAAGGACCTCAAGATCATCTAGATCCAACCCCCTGCCATGATTAGGGATGCCTCACACTAGACCATGTTAACCAAGGCTCTGTCCAACCTGGCCTTGAACACTGCCAGGGATGGAGCATTTACCACTTCTTTGGGCAGCCTGTTCCAGTGCCTCACCACCCTCACAGTAAAGAACTCCTTCCTTACATCTAACCGAAACTTCCCCTGTTTCAGTTTAAACCCATCACCCCTTGTGCTATTGCTACAGTCCCTGATGAAGAGTCCCTCTCTAGCATCTGTGTAGGCCCCCTTCAGACATGAAATCTGTTAGACTGTTTATTCAGGAATGCATACATCTTTCCCATTAACAGACTTTACCTTTGTTTGTGATGTTCTCCTCTGTTCTTTGTCTTCTCATCATCAGTTTCTTGGAAGAAGGGCTGTGGTTCACATTCAGATAGATGTGTTCCTTTTTATTCCTGTCATGTGCTTTTAAGTGTTGTGTTTTTTTACTTTGCTTTACTTGGAATTTAGAAGTCCAACTAGCTACAAAGTCCAGGTCTGGATCTGAATTTTCCTGAAGGTCAAAAGAGCTTTCCTTCCAGCAGTTTGGAATCATTTCTAATGATAGCATATATTATTAGTAGAAGAGTAATACATGGAACAAATCACAGAATCACAGAATGGCTAGGGTTGAAAGGGATCTTAAATACAATCTAGTTCAAATCAGCCTTCTGGAGTACAAGTCATTTAAGCAATGACAATAGCTCTCGAAGAGTTCTATCATTTATGACTAAACTGCTCCTATGATGAATGAATGTTAGGTAGGCCAGTGTTAGCCAGGGGATCTTACTTTCACAGAGAGGTGAAGTTACCTAGCATTCTCCACATCAACTAATATAAGTAAGCAACTAAAGCTTGACCAAAATGACAAAGGTGAGGAATTGTATTTCCTTATGTAGCAAATAGACAGACATGGGTAATTCTAGTGGGACAATTTGCAGAATGGATTTCTCTCTTTCACTGCAAGCACCATCAATAAAAGCAATACAGATGCATTTGACCTATACCAATGACATGTTGATTGACTTTGAGAATTTTGATAAGAAAATTGAGGGGATTTACCTTATTTCCACAGGAGGAAGCTGAAATGTGATAGCAGAGCAGGTGGTGCATCTGTCCTCATCTCCATATATGACTCTGCAGGATGACAAATTGATTGTTACTATCAGACTGAAACAGGGCAACTGAGAGATGGGAAATGAGTATCGTGGTGACCCACACAGGAAACTTGTGTCCTTTTATTGCAGCACAGAGCTCTACTTCTTCAGAGTTATAGTGAAAAAAAAAGTGTTCCTGCCATGGTTGCACCAAACTCTGAGCTATTTGCAATGTTACATTCACTGAGCAACAGAATACATTGAACAAGCTGTATCTGTAGACTCCGTTATTAAAAGCATAGGCTTGTACTGCCAGTCTTCAAATGGAAAACAAATAATAGTACTTTCATAAAAGAAGAGGACTTCACAATTCAATCATTTTGCTAATTCTGAGGTTTAGTCAAAATCTGGAAACATAATTTTATTAACATTTCATAATCATTTTTACTTTATAGGCTACCAGGAATATATATATGTTTAATTTTGAAACATAAAATTATTTTCCACCCCTTTTCTTCATGTCCTTTCCCTTCTTTTTCTTCTTACTCCATTTATTTTTAAGGACATAAATAAGAACTGGTTGGGGATGTAAAAGCTGGGGGAAGGTGTGGCTGCAGTAACCTAAGATGGTGGAGTTCAGGATCCTGAAAAGAAGGGAAAACCTGCAAAAAACAGGATCCCAACCCAGGACTTAAAGAAGGCAAACTTCGGGCTGCTCAGGAATCTGCTTTCAGGTATGCCATGGCAAACAGTCCTAGAGAGGAGGTTCAGGATAGCTGGATGGTTTTCAAGTGTCAGTTCCTTTGAGCTCAAGAACGGCCCACCCAATGAGCAGGTTACAAATGGTGACAGTGGGCCCCCATGAATCCCTTAGCTTGTAGGGGTGGGGTTAGGAAAGCCAAAGCCTGCCTGGATTGGAATCTGGTGTGAAAGGCCACAAGGAAGGTTTAACAGGGTACATCAGGAAGCAAAAAAATACCTAGCGAAAAATGTGGGCCTGCAGTGTAGCTGATCACAAAGACATAGAAAAGGGTGATACACTCTGTGACTCAGTGCTTCCTTTGTCTTAGTCTTTGCTAAGGTGACTTGCCTTCAGCAATCTCAGGTCCATGAAAACTATGAGGAAGTCCAGTGAAAAACAGACTTAACTTTGGTGGAGGAGCTATCATGTTAGGGAGCATTGAAACTAAATGCACATATACAAGTTCATGGACCCTGATGGGACATACCACGAGTGCTGTGGGAGCTGGCTTCATTGCAAGGCCACTCTCAACAACCTTTAAAAGGTCATGGTAATCAGGAAAGGTCGCTGAAGATGAAGACAGGAGATGACTCCTGTCTTCAAGAAGAAGGATCCAGGGAACTACAGACCAGTCAGCCTGATATCAGCCCCTGGAAAGGTAATAGAGCAACTCATCCTAGAAACCATTTCCAGACACACGAAGAATAAGAATCACTGAATCACAGAATGGTTTGGATTGGAAGGGACCTCTGGAGATCATCTAGTCCAATCCCTCTGCCAAGGAACAGTAATCACCTTGTCAGCACAGATTTGCAAAGGGGAAGACATGTCTGATTGACCTCATAACCTACAGTGAGGTGACTCACCCCATGGAGAGCTGTGGATGTTATTTTGACATTGTCTCCTGCAACATCCTCACACACAAGTACTGATGAACTATCAAACTGGATAAGTAGATAGTGAGGCAGACTGAAAACTTGCTATAGGGCTGGGTCCAGAGGCTTGTGACCAGTGGCATGCAGTCCAGCTGCAGGCTAGTGACCAGATGTGCCACAGGGCTCAACACTGGATGCAGTAGTGTGCCTGTGACCTGTGACCTTCACAATAGAGCAGAGTAAGTTCTCTTACCCTCAGTAAGTTCTCAGATGATACAAAACTGAGAGGAATGACTGATACACCAGGTGATTGTCCCAGCATTCAGAGAGACCTGGACATGGTTGGAGAAATGGCCAGAAAGAAACCTCATGATGTTCAGTAAAGGCAAATGCAGGCTTCTGCACGTGGCGAGAAATCAGCACACACTGGGGTCAGCTGTCTGGGAAGCAGCTTTGCAGAAAAGGATCTGGGAATTCCCGGCAAATGACAAATTGAACATGAGGCAGCAACGTGCCCTCACACCCTCATGGCAAAGGTGGCCAACAGGCTCCTAGGTTGCATTAAGCAGAAAGCTGCTTCCCCTCTACTCTGCACTGGTCAGGATGTGTATCCAGTCTGGGCTCCCCTGCACAGGAAGCATGTGGATTTACTGAAGCAAGTAGGAAAGAGCCAGTAAGATGATTAAGGAACTGAAGCATCTTTCATACAAGGAGAGGCTGTGAGCACTGGGACTGTTCAGCCTGGTGAAGAAAAGGTTCAAGGGGAATCTTGTCGTGTTGTGTTTTTTTTTTCCTTTCTTTTTCTTTTTTTTTTTTTTTTTAATGTACAGTGAATGTGGTCAAAACCTGGAACAGGCTTCCCAGGGGTGGTAAAGCCTCTCTCTTTCGGAGATATTCAAAGGGCAATTGGACAATGTCCTTCGTAGCTTGCTGCAGTTAATCACAGAATCACAGAACAGTTAGGGTTAGAAAGGACCTTAAAATCATCTAGTTCCAAACCCCCTGCCATGGGCAGGGACAGCTCACACCAAACCATCTCACCCAAGGCTCTGTCCAACCTGACCTTGAACACTGCCAGGGATGGAGCATTCACAACTTCCCTGGGCAACCCATTCCAGTGCCTCACCACCCTAGCAGTAAAGAACTTCTTCCTTATATCCGATCTAAACTTCACCTGTTTAAGTTTTAACCCATTACCCCTTGTCCTGTCACTACAGTCCCTAATGAAGAGTCCATCCACAGCATCCCTATAGGCCCCCTTCAGATACTGGAAGGCTGCTATGAGGTCTCCACGCAGCCTTCTCCAGGCTGAACAGCCCCAACTTTCTCAGCTGATCATATGGGAGGTGCTTCAGTCCCCTGATCATCCTCGTGGCCTCCTCTGGACTTGTTCCAACATTTCCATGTCCATTTTATGTTGAGGACACCAGAACTGCACACAATACTCCAGGTGAGGTCTCACAAGAGCAGAGTAGAGGGGCAGGATCACCTCCTTCGACCTGCTGGTCACACTCCTTTTGATGCAGCCCAGGATACGGTTGGCTTTCTGGGCTGCAAGTGCACACTGCTGGCTTGTTCATGAGTTGACCCTACTTTGAGCAGGGCACTGATGGTCACCAGAGCTGCCTCCCAGTCTCCACTATTCTGTGACTCTGTGACAAGTAGTGAAATTTCAGTATGAAAGAAGAAGATGGAGGCTGAGTGTTACAGCTGATTCCCCTACAAGTGGCTATGGAGAGGCAGGTAGGCTCTACCCTGCCTTGCAGTACAATAAATCTTTTGCTCCTGAAAGGGACTTCTTGGGCTTAGGAGGTTAAGACAGACTTCAGGTTGCTCTGCCTTGTGCTGTTGATAAGGCCTGAAGGCCTCCACATCCAAAGATCTCCTTCTCTCCCTCACCCCAGTTTGTGGGGTTTGTGGTTCAAGGAGCTGGCAGCTTCAGGGCCAGCTCTGCAGGAGTGAGCTGCAGGATGCTGCTGACCCATTTTCACAGAGTCTGTGGCTTTTGATACTTCAAACTCATCCAGACAGTGTTTGAGCAGCTGTGATGTAAAACATCTCTCTGGGGCAAAACAAGCTAGTACAGTTCTTCCTAGCAATTATACCATGCACCATAACTCACAAGATCAAAATCAGTTGTGCACACAGCAGAAATCACATACAGGATTAATGCTGATTGGACAAAGGTCTTCAGCATCGTTTTACAAGTCTGTGGTTCCTTGTGGGCAGATCTATGACACAGACATCAAACTTGCCACACTCCCCAGCAAGCTGGATCTAAATTCTGCCCTCATGCCCCGAGTTCTTTGTTGTGCTGCTGCATCTGAGTGCACATTCTAGGGCAGGAAGTTCCTCCTTTAAAACACAGATGTCTCAAATGAGTTTCCATACAGAATGCAGGATTAAATGTAATAAAAGTCTTTTTTATAATTCAGTATAAGAAATAAAGCAATTAAACTTATTAAAACATAACATTTTAACATTATATGGTGGGGGGTTGAAACTAGAGGATATTTAAGGTCCCTTTGAACCCAAACCATTCTGTGATTCTGTAACAAACTAAACGCTGTCCTCCATCTTGGAGCTGGAGATGTGCAGAAAGCACACATTCCTGAATTCTTTAAACCTAATGTTTAAAAACTTAGGTTACAGAGAATTCAGCTTGTATCTGGCTCCTCTTTCTTGTCACAAACAATAAACCACAGTAAATCCACAATCTGAAAAGCTGACACCAGCTCACAGGAAATGATGCTTTTGAAGACATCAGCTTTGACCAGACAGGAAGCATTGGCTTCACAAAATGCTTTGTTAAATAGCTCGTATGCAATGGTTAATCAAAAAGACAGTGAGAAAGCTCTGAGTGCTTCTCTTCCAAACCACTATATATATGTCATAGTGCCATTTCTTGTGTGCCTCATCAGATAGGCCTGGTTTGCAACATGCCCAAACATGTAAAACATCCATTTCTGGTTTGTGTGTTTGTTTACTGTGGGAGTGAGGGGATGGGGATGGTGGTGTTTGCTGCTGTGTTTTGGTTATCTCAGACTCAAGACTTCTCATGAAAATATAGAAATACAATTAACAACAAATAAACTCATCCGATCAGAACAGCATACACACGTTTTATTGTATACATTCCCACACTGTACTGTACTGCTCCTGTCTCTTCACCTCATCTTGAAAACGGGTTGTGGTGAAGAGCTGAGAGCTGCAGCGCACCCGTGTCCACGCAAGATGCTATTGGTATAATAAAGAAAGGAACAGCTGGTCATAAGCTAAGTCTGCAACAAATACTTAATTGTTTTCATTCTTGTGACAATGATCCCGGTGAAAAGAAATGAAATATTTCTCCAGTGGCAAGAGCTCTGCTGCAGATTTCCACATTAAAATATTTATTTCTTACCAACCCAGCCCCATGCGTCGCCAAGTAATGAATTTTGCAGTACTAGTCATGGGAAACTCTTCAAACTATTGCTGCTCATGCTGACACTGAGTTGCTTCTGTAAAGCTGTGTGGAAGGTGAGAGCATCCACTTCATTACAGTCACCCACTGAAGTACTCTTTAAATGCAAAAGAGGATAAT